TGATATTTTGAAACATTATTCAAAAAAAAAAAAAAAAAAAAACACCGTACAGTTGGGTTAGGAATTTGAAAGCCAAAAGCTCCTCCGGCATCCCCCCTCGTCTGTCCAGTTTTTGCACTCTCCTGGGATAAGGAACAAACAGTTAGAGTGAAACTACGCAACCGATCAAAAGTTCGAAACAGAACTGAATGCGTTCGCCACAGCAGCAAGAGACGGAGAGCGTACAGTCTGGTGATGTGACAGGTACGAGCACCATTGAAGGAGCAATCGCACTTGATAGCCGGATTTTTGGAATCGTCTTGGCTCACAGCAGTTCCGGTGCATGGTTCGCCGCTGATATTCCAGGAATTCGCTGGTGCCTGTATGTCCCATCTTTGGAAGATTGAGTTCAATGCTCTCACTGCATCAAAATTCAAGAAACGTCAGAATGCTTCTAGTGTTTTTAATCTCTGCATTTGATGCGAATTACACAAACTGGACACTTTTAAATGATCAAAGTGTGAAATTTTCAACATGATAAACAAATTTCTTGTAAATCTACTTATCTGTACTGAAAATTATTTCCCTTTTTTTCCCGAATGCCTAGATTTACAGTTAAAATAGTCTAACTTGCAGCATCAAAAATTATGTGACTCAATTTTTAAAAAAATTATCTAAAATTTTTGTAAGTTCTATATATATAGTATGAGAAAAATAAAGATCAAAACGTCTTAACAATTAAAATACTAGAACATGCTGATGATAAAAAGTGAAGTACCTTCAGAAGGGTCAGTGGTGGCATTTTGAGCTCTGGATTTTCCAGCTACTGTTAAGAAGAAGATGAAGCAGAAGTGAGCAGCTGCCAGCGCAGAAGCAGATGAAAGTGGCTTCATTATCCAATTCTACCCCAACATAGCAGTCTTGGAAACCCCCGCTAGAGATATTTAGCGAAAACCTCCGCCCCATTTTGAAGACTTTTCCACTTTTCTCCGCGCACCGCACACCAGTCAAGTCCTAATTAACAAAATGCAAAAGCAGATTCCGAGCATCTTCCTAATTGATTTCATGTGGGATTTGTTATCAAATTATCCAATTAAATTTATGTAGGTTGCTGTTTTGTTGTTTACATTGTATTATTATATTGTAAAATTAAAATTCTTAAATAACAAAAAAAATCCAATGTAAGGGTTTCTCCTAATTCGAGGGCTTACTATTTTACGGTTTAATATAA